CTCTCTCTCTCTCTCTCTCTCTCTCTCTCTCTCTCTCTCTCTCTCTCTCTCTCTCTCTCCCGACCTGCACCCCTCCCTGTGCAAACAAGACCAGCTCTGCACAGCAACCACAGACCAGCGCAGCGTCCTGAGCCAGGTGAGCCCCATTCCCAGAGCTGAGCCCGGACCCCGTGGGGTCCCTGAGAGCGCCGGGCCGGGCTGGGCTGTGCGGGGGCCGCAGGGCACTCACTTGTGGCCCTGGCAGGGGCTGGCGAGCGGCTGGTCACAGTGGGGCCCGGCCCAGCCCGGCTCGCAGTGGCACACAGGGCCTGGGGCAGCGTTGGGCTGGCAGATGCCGTGCACGCAGAGGAGCTTGCGGCAGGGCTCGCAGCCCGGCACCACACCCGGCTTCATCTGCGTCTTGGTGAAGTCCTGCAGCTCGTTGTTGATGTACAGGTTGCGGATGCAGCCGTGGAAGCTGGTGCCGTTCAGAATCTGCCACAGGCGGAAGGCGGCTGAGTTCACGTCCACGGGCATCCCTGCGGAGAGCGCGGCCGTGAGATGCCCGCTGGGGCCTGGCTGGGGGCATGGTGTCCCAGCCTGGTTTCCCAGCCCTGCAGACATGGCCCCCCAGCCAGGTCCCCTGCCTTAAACCACGCTCAGCCTGGGGTCAGAGCATCCCGGCATGGCGGGGTCACATCCAGTCTAGCCCAGCCCAGCCCGAGCTAGGATCAGCTCTGCCCAAACCAGCCCAACAAACCCCATGTCTGATCTTGGAGCCACACGACGGTCACCCCTGACACAGCCCCTGCCCACCCCCAGGATACAGGGGGGCCGTGGCCACCAACATCCTGCTGCTGCCAGCCGGTCGTGGGCACTGCAGAGCCCAGGCCAGGCCGTGCCCCCGCTGCAGAGGAAGGGGAGCCCCCCCCAGTGCAAACCAGTCTGAGCAGGGGGAAAATCCTTCCTGGCCCAGTGCAGCGTGGGGCTGAGCCTGAGCACGGGGACAAGCCAGGACCCTGCGGGGTCGGTGCCAGCAGGAGCATTGGCTCAGCCCAGCCCAGCCCCAGCCCCAGTCCGGGCTGCAGCAGCACCAGCACACAGCACTGCTAAGAAAAAGGAAAAATAACCCCGACACATGCAGCAAGAGAGGAAAAAAAATCCCTTCCTGGCTCTTTGTGACAACCAGCAGAGCCCAGAAACCTGGGACGCCCCCACAGCAGAGCACGGGCATCGCTGCACCTGGAGCACCCCCACCAGCATCTGCCCAGCCTCGCCTTGAGCCCTGCAGCGGTGGAGAGTCCCTCCTTCCCCGGCGTCTCACAGAATCGCAGGTACAAGGGCTGAAGGGACTGCAGGAGGCACGTCTGCTCCAACCCCCTGCTCCGAGCAGGACCAGCCCCAACTGCATCATCCTAGCAAGGCTTTGTCTACCCGGCTCTTCAACACCTCCAAGCATGGAGACTCCCCCACCTCTCTGGGTGACCCGTTCCAGTGCTTTACTACCCTCTCAGTGAGAAAGTTTTTCCTAATATCCAGCCTCAACTTCCCTTGCTGCAGCCTGAGCCCATTGCTCCTTGTCCTGCCATCTGCCCCCACTGAGAGCAGCCCAGCTCCATCCTCTGTGCAGTCCCCCTGCGGGGAGGTGAAGGCTGCTATTCAATCCCCCTCGGTCTTCTCTTCTCCAGACTGAATCAGCCCAGGTCCCTCAGCCTCTCCTCACAAGTCATGTCCCCCAGCCCACAACCACTTTCACTGCCCACACTGCACTGTCCCTGCACACATGCACACGTGGAAGGCAGAGCTCAGCATACAGCCCCTGGCATGATCCTGCCTGGGGGAGAGATGTCAGCCCCAGCCCTGGTAGCTCCCCCTGGCTGCCCCGCTCCTGGGGCCGTGGGCAACATCCAGCTGCCATGCCAGTGCCCACCCGGCTGCACCACGGGCACTCACCGCCCACGTAGAGCGGGGCCTCGCTGGTGAGCGTGTAGTGTTTGCCGAAGCTGTCCATGGTCATGGGGCTGCCGCCGTCGATGGAAAGGTTCACGGCGCGGTCGAAGGTCACCAGCTCCACGGTGTGGAACTGCCCGTCGTTGATGGTCTCGGCACTGCGGGCAGCCAGGCCCAGGCATCAGGGCAGCGTGGCCACCCCATGCCCACCCGGCCCTGCCTCCCCGCAGCCACCCCACGCCTGCTCCTAGCACCCAGCACCCATATACACATGCACGCACATGGGTATGCACACTCACACATGCGCACACGCTCACATACATGCACTCACACACACACACAATGTACATCCATACGAACACACACATGAACATGCACTCATGCGTACAGTTGCACACAGATGTGCATACATTCATGCCCATGTACACATGCACTCACACAAAGTCCATGCATGTACACATACACTCACATGCACACATATATGCACACTCATGCATCTGTACACACAGGCACATGCAAACACTCACATACACAAGTACACACACAGGCCTCCCAAGCTGCTGGACCCTCCTGTAGCGCCCCCAGGCCTGCAGCCTGCCCCCCCGACAGCCGCCTGGCAGTGCTCACACCCTGCCTCTTGCTGCACCGGGCACCAGGGACCCCTGGCCCTGCCAGACCGCAGCCTGGCAGAGCCCGGGGCCAGGTGGGCAGGCGGTACCTGTAGATGGCCGAGCTGGGGTAGGAGCCGGGGTCGTAGCTGACCCGCACGTGGCCCTGGTACAGCTCCACGGCCATGTGGTCGCTGTCCCCGTTGTACAGCAGGATCCCGTTGTCCTCGGCCGTGGACACCTGAGGGGAGAGCGGGGGTCCAGTATCAGGGCTGGGCACTGGGGGGGGTACGGCACTTGCCCTCCCGGCATTGCCCTCCCACCGTGCACAGTCCCGACCTGCAGGGTGATGTTGGCCCGGGGCCAGTCGGGCAGGTGCGTGAGCTGCAGGTAGGTGTCGCGGTCCACGAAGTCGACACTGAGCAGCTTCTCACACTTGGGGCCGCCGAAGCCGGGCAGGCACTGGCACACGGCACGGGGGCCCAGCTCCACGCAGCTGGCCCCGTTCTGGCACTCGGCCCGGTCACACGGGCCAGGCGGGGCAGCCGCGCGTGCTGGCATCTCGCACAGCTGGCCACTGCGGGGCACAGGCGGCAGGGCTGGTGTGAGTGGGCACCTGGCACCAGGGAACCCCCAGGCCCGTGGCCCCAGTGGTGCCCCTCTGCCCCTACCAATGCCTGGGGAGACCCCTGCGCTGGAGGCAGTGGAAAATGTCCCCCTGGTCCCTGGGGCTGCCAGGGGCAACTGTGTTGTGCGACTCTGAGGTCGGACACAGGGTTTGTCTGGGCTGGTTTGGACGGGGCTGATCCTTCCAGGGCTGGGCTGCCACAGCTCCCTGCCAGCCCCATGGCTCTGGGACTCTGTATGACCTGCCCGCACCTGTAGCCCGGGAGGCAGAGGCAGGAGTAGCCGTTGGGCTCGTCCGAGCAGCGGGCGCCGTGCTGGCACTGGTGGTCCTGGCAGTTGTCGGCGTCCTCGCTGCACCAGTCGCCCACGTAGCCGGGGGCACACTTGCACCTGGGGGAGAGGGAGAGCCGCGGGGCTCAGCAGCTGCCTGGCACTGCCCACTCCGGGGGTAGCAGGGCTGGCTCCGCTCTGCCCACTCGGGCTGTGCTCCGGCCAGCTGGGAAGGCCATGGGCTGGGGTAGGAGCCCTTTCCCCTTCGGTTGATGCAGCGCTCCAGAGCCGGCCCCTGCGGCACCAGCTGGCAATGCCCTGCTTTCATCGCGGGGGGTCCAACACCCGCACCCTCATGACCATGCCTTTGGGTGCTGGCGAGGGCAGCGGGTCTTTGGCCAGGGGCGACCCCTCCGAGGGGCTGCGCAGGGGTACTCACGTGGGCCCCGCGGCGGTGACGATGCAGGTGGCGCCGTGCTGGCAGGGGCTCAGCTCTGCGGAGCAGACATCCACCAGCTGCTCGCAGGAAGCGCCTGCAGAAAGGACAGAGGCTGGCTCAGCCCTGCCAGGCACCCAGCTTGCACCCCTGATTGCCCGGGTTCCCAGGGCGAGAGGCTGGGGCAACCCCCAGAGCAGGGCACTCCCCCGACCCCCACCACGCCACCTCCTGCAGGCTCAGACCGGGCCCTAGACCCCGCTCCCCTCCCATGGGCTCGCCACAGCTGTCCAGCACCCACTGCCACCACCAGCATGGCAGCCTGCATGTAGACGGAGCCCCGCGGCACCCAGAGCCGGGCATGAGACCCAGGGCTGAATCACAGCGCCATCCCGGGGTCGCTGGGATCAGGCAAGCAGACACAGACAGGGACAGACAGATGGGCGGAGAGGCAGTGGGGCTGTCCGGGCAGCGATGCTGGCTCTGCCCTTCTCTGGCTGGCACCACGGGGCCACGGGAGACCCCCGGACGTGGGGCAGGTGCTGGGGCAGCCCCGGCAGAGCCAGCCCCTACCTGTGTAGGCGGGTGGGCACAGGCAGGTGTAGTTGCGGGGCCTGTGCAGGCAGGTGCCGCCGTGCTCGCAGGTGTGGTCCCGGCAGTGGTCCGTGACGGTGCCGCATGTCGGCCCCTCGAAGCCCTCGGCGCAGAGGCACCTGCCGGGGGGCACGAGGCAGCGTGACTGCCCCCTCGCCCACAGGACCCAGGAGCCTGGGCTCCCCAGGCCCCTGCCCTGGCCACAACCCCGGTCCCTGCCGTGGGACCCCTGTGAGTTGCCCCTTCCCAGATCGATGCCGGGGCATTGCCCTGGCTCAGCACCTGCTGCCCCGTCTGCCAGGGCAGAAGCCAGGCACCGGCATGTGCAGGGAGGCCACGTGCCAACGTGCAAGTGCACACGCGTGTGCACCGAGGCGAGGCTGGATCGGGGCGCTGCCCGGGAGGGCTCCAAGGGGCCATGCCGGGGGGAAGAGAGGATGCAGCCAGCGCCGCCAGCCCCCACAGAGCAGGCAGTGCCACGGCAAGGATGCTGGGTCGCCATGGCAATGGGCTCAGAGGCTGCTCGGTGCTGGGCAATGGGGGCGGGCGCTAATTTCCACCTGCTAATTATAGCCCATTTCTGGGAAGCGCGGGGGGCTGGGCCAGGGCACCGGCGGGGAGGGGGCTGCGGCTGCAGGGTCCCAGAGGGGGC